CAAAAATAGCCCTGCTGAGAGCCAAACTATACATGATGTTTTTTCCACGTGTTTATGGTTGTTTCCCTGTGTTCCTTGCAGCCACACACCAGCCTGCGGGGAACGGCTTCTAAAACAAAAGCAGAGCCCAAATGGGCTTGGGAGGGTGCCATGGTGGTGGTGGGGGCGGCCCCCGACTCTCCTCCAAACAGTTTTCTTGCACCAAAAATTGGGGGGGGGGAGTTATATTGCCAATTCAAAAGGGAATTAGATAAGCATATGGAGCAGAGGTCCATCAGTGGATATTAGCCACAAGGTATAGATAGGGGCTCTGGGGCAAGTGATGCTCTGTCTTCTGGGGGGGGGGGGTCAACAGTGGGAGGGCTTCTAATGTCCTGGCCCCACTGCTGGACCTCCTGATGGCACTGGTATTTCTGGCCACTGTGTGACACAGAGTGTTGGACTGGATGGGCCTTTGGCCTGATCCAACATTGGCGTCTCTTATGTTCTTATGCTGCTCTGTGTGCACAAGACATCCCACAGGGAACAGCAAAACTGGCAAAATAACTCACCACCACCACGGTTTTGGTGCAAGAAAACTGTTTTGGAAGGGAGTCGGGGGCCGTCCCCCACCACCATGGCACCCTTCCAAGCCCATCTGGGCTCTGCTTTTGTTTTAGAAGCCGTTCCCCGCAGCTGGTGCAAGCCTGCAAGGAATGCGGGAAAACAACCATAAACAAGTGGGGAAAACATAACGTATAGTCGCCTGAATTCCCCCTAGAAACTAGAATGAGCAAACTGAGGCTATGGTACTTCGGCCACATGGTGAGAAGACAGGAGTTGCTGGAAAAGACAAGCGTGCTGGTGAAAGTTGGTGGCGGCAGGAAAAGGGGAAGACCGAAAAGGAGATGGATTCAGTCAGTCGAGGAAGTCACGCCCCCCCAGTTTGCAAGACCTGAATGAGGCCATTAACCAATAGGATGTTTTGGAGGTCACTAGTTCATAAGTCAGAAGCAACCTGACCGCACTGAAGGAGATTGGATTTATGCCCCGCCTTTCACTACCCGGAGGAGTCTCGGAGCAGCCTGCAATCTCCTTTCCCCTCCCCACAACAGACACCCTGTGAGGTAGGTGGGGCTGAGAGAGCTCTTTCGAGGACTGCCCTTGAGAGAACTTGTGACTGACCCAAGGTCGCACCAGCAGCTGCAAGTGGAGGAGTGGGGAATCAAACCCGGTTCTCCCAGATTAGAGTTCACACTCTCAACCACTACACCACACACACAGAGTTCATTCTCGAAGGAATCTGGGTTTGGAATCTGGGAAGGAATCATCATGACCAGTGTTCCCTCTAAGCTGAGTTAGTGTGAGCAAGCTCACAGTTTTTTAGCCTCCAGCTCAAACATTTTTGTCTCAGCTCAGGAAGGAGGGCTCCAGAGCAAACTGATTTATGCAGTAGCCAAATGGCTCACTCACAACTTTAATGCCAGTAGCTCACCAAGTAGAATTTTTGCTCACGAGACTCCACAGCTTAGAGGGAACATTGATCATGACCCCATTAGCCCACCTTCTCGCCAAGATGCTGAAGGCAACGTCTGTAGCTGCCCTTTCCTCTGCTCTCTCCTCACCACGGGGACCCTGCGATGTAGGCTAGACTGACCCAAGGTCAATGCCCCGTGCCCTACCACTGGTCAGTCGAGCCCACGTCTGTCTGTCGAAGGCAGCAGGAGAAGAGGAGGAGCCAAAAGAAGATGGATCGGCTCCATCGAGGAAGCCGCAGCCCTCCGTTGGCAAGACTGGAGAAAGGCTGTTAACGAGGGTGTTTCAGAGGCCACTCATTCATAGTAAAGGTAAAGGTTTCCCTTGCTCAAAAGCCAGTCGAATCTGACTCTAGGGGGCGGTGCTCATCTCCGTTTCCAAGCCGAAGAGCCAGCGCCGTCCGAAGATGTTTCCGTGGTCATGACTAGACGCCGAGGCGCACGGAACGCTGTTACCTTCC